CTACTTTCAAGTTTTACTTCTATGGATATTAAGTACTTTTTAAAAACAGAGAGGGGATTTGTATGTGTAAACGTGATATCGGGCTGGCAAACATTTTTTAAAAGCTTTGCGTCACGCACTGGAAATATAGGTACATACATACAAAATTCTTATCATCATAAAAACACAAAAGGATATTTTGTGAGGAACATTTTAAGATTATTCACCTGATTGATTGCGGGCCATTATATAAATAATTTTCTATCTATCATGTACATAAAATAAGCAAATCAAATTATTTAATACATTTTATATTCATCAGTAAGTAAAGGAATGACTAAACAACAACAGGAACAAATCCGCCACGCCAATTCTTACACCATCAGACTCTATATAGTTATTAAAAGTGTAATGACCCTTCTTAACAAATGAAATAAGTGTATTTCCCTTACAGGGAAACTGGAAAAAAGTAGGCATAGTCGTCTTTTACTTCATACTTAGGTTTAGGACTTGCTTTTGACCACTACATCTTAGAGCAAAGATCAAATCAAAAATCAAATCAAATCAAATAATAAATTCTCCAAATAATAAATTGGGTGCAAGTACAAAACAAATGCAAAGTAGACCAGTAGTAAAAGAAGTTCCAGCAGTAGACCGTGTGCCAGCAAAAAGGAAGCCTGAGAAGTCTAAGAAGACGTCGTCAGATCAAACAGGGTCTTCTGCAACCTTAATTTCTTCTCCTAAAATACCTCCCCTTATGACTACAGATAATAACACGAAAGTAGAAGGAGAAGAAGGCTTTATTGAAGTCAGGCACCGGCGAACACGATTCTCTTCACCACACGTACTCCGTGGTGTAGCGACGCCCGGTTCAACATCTCTCGAAGAAAACGGAAAGAAAATTGTGAAGAAAGTAGAGGAAACAATGCCAAAACCCCTTAAAAAAGTAATTATAATTGCGGATCAACAGGGGAAGGGTTTACAACCTTGCCTTCAGTCGGTATTAGGTTCACAATTTTCAATAAGTTGTTTCTGGAAAGGAGGCGCGAAAATGTTAGATGTCTTAAATAGTTTTAAAACGGAAATTATGTCCTTATCGAAAGAGGATTATGTTGTTGTTGTTGGGGGTACAAATGACACAAATCCGTGTGAATACAAGACGGTCATAAGAACTTGGTTAAATTTCATAACTAATACAAATATAATAATTTGTGAGGTTCCCTTCAACAAATCGTTAAATGAATTTATGTTAAATCAAGTAATTAGCCAACTATGTGAACAACACGAATACTGCACGTTTTTAGATCTAAATTATACTAACAGTTACATACCGAGAAAGGATAAAGTTACTAACATAAGTCGTTATGTATTACGAGAAATTTTGCGAATTCAAAATCAGGGTAAATATAAAGATTATATTCTAGATGCATGCAATAAGAGTACACAAACAGAAGACTTGGGCATAGGCGCTTCTAATTTTACAAATGTAACCCCTGTTTTAGTAAATGAAGACGATAAAATTGCCACAAAGAATGTGACCAGGAACAACGATCTTGATTTTTTTCGTGTATAACTTTCTATGGATACTTCACCAAAATATTAACGGCCTGATTGATAAATCGGACATGTTCTCAATAACCCTTAATGAGCTAAGAGAGACAGGAAAATTTGTTGATATAATATGCGTTACTGAACATAATATGCTTTTGGGGGACACAAATTATTTAATTATAGAAAACTATTTATTGGCTGCTGCATACTGTCGCACAGATAGAAATGGTGGTTCTTGCATATTAGTTAGAGACGGATTAAAATTCCAACCCTATGAAGAAATTGCGAAGTTAAGCATATGTAATTTGATAGAATGCTGTGCTGTAAATATATTGGAACATAATATGACTATCGTATGTATATACAGGGTACCTAAAAATCTAGATATAAAAAATAATTTAAACATTTTTTTTGACAAATTAGATGATATCTTGACATTAGTTAGCAAAAATAAAAAACAAAGGATTATACTAGCAGGAGACTTTAATATTAATATATTACAAGAAGATGACACAACAAACCGATTGACACGCTTACTAGCAAATTTTAATATGAGAATGGAAATACATGATATAACAAGACCATGCAGTGGTACTTGCATAGATAATATAGCACATAACATGCACAGGTGCAAAGGGGAAGTAACAGAACTTAGTGTTTCAGATCATTCTGCACAATTAGTTAAATGCCCTGTTAAAGCAACATGTACTCTGAAACATTGGTATATAAAGAAAAGAGATTATAGCAAGGATAATATGAATAAGTTTATGGAATGTATAAAGAATGTAAATTGGCTGCAATTAGATGGAGTATCAGATCCAAAGACAGCATTTTCAGTATTCTATGAACTTTTTAGATTATTTTACGGATTATGTTTTCCGGTATTTAAAGCAAAGATATCTCTTACCAAGAAATCAAAGTGGATATCACGCGGAATAAAATTGTGTAGCAGAAAGAAGCGACAATTATTTTGGAAGCATAGGTTATCTCAATACGAAAAACATCTAGAAGAATTTAAGACTTACACAAAACGATTTAAGCGCATTATTCAGCTAACTAAAAAAGCGCAAAATAATTATTTTATTAAAAATTCAATAAATAAGTCAAAGGCAACGTGGCAAATAATAAATAAAAGTAACGCTAAAATACCCAAAATACATAGTGACAAAATATATCATAATGGACAAATTTTAACAGATCCAACTGAAATTGCCAACGCTTTTAACGACTTTTACATTGATCAAGCACAAGAAACAAATTTCAATAATGATTCAGCTGCCAGTACAAGCACTAAAATACCGTATACTTGTAAATCTATGTTTATGATACCAACAACTGAGAAGGAAATTCAGCAAATTATAAAGGATTTAAAGAATACAAAGAGTACAGGCTACGATGAAATAAACACGACAGTTCTTAAGCATGTGTCCGAATATATATCTCCAATATTGTCATACTTAATCAATATTTCAGTGGAGTATGGAATATTTCCGGAAGAACTGAAAATATCTATCGTAAAACCTTTATATAAAAAAGATAATAAAGAAAACATTAATAATTACCGACCTGTATCTCTCATTTCAATTCTGGCTAAGGTTTACGAGAAAGTCATTTATAAAAATATGCTCTCGTACTTAGAAACAAATAAAATTCTTATAAAAAATCAAAAGGGCTTTAGAAAGGGTCAATCAATGAACTTAGCCATTTATGAGTTACTGTTAATAGTTCTAAAAGCAATGGACAAAAGCAAACCAGTCATAGCATTATATATGGACTTAACAAAGGCCTTTGATTTTGTCAATCATAATATTTTGCTCGATAAACTGTTTAGATATGGGATCAGGGGAAATGTACATGAACTAATAGAATCGTATTTGACTAATCGAAAACAAATGACATGCATTAATAAAATATCGAATGAAACCAAAACTGACATATCGTATTTTTCTGCATCTAGAACAGTTCTACATGGAATTCCACAAGGATCAGTACTGGGTCCATTGCTGTTTTTAATTTATATTAATGACTTTCCAACAGCAACGTCATATCCCATGCTTATGTTTGCGGATGATAGTACTGTAATTTTTGACATTGAGCGTCACATTTCATTTGACCAAGAAATCAATAACGACATTATAAATATAATAAAATGGTTACAAAGCAATAGACTTCAAATTAATTTAAGTAAAACTGTGTACATTAATTTTAAACACAAAATTAACAAGACTCAAGAGGACCACGATATAAAATATCTTGATACAGAAATTAAGGAGGTAGTGGACACAAAATTTTTAGGGGTGTATATTGATAATAATATGACATGGACAAAACATATAGAGATATTGTGTATGAAACTTCATAGATTTGCCTACGCCTTGTGGAGGCTAGCTAAAGTGGTAGACAAAGAGGCATTACTAGTAACCTACCATGGATATGTCGCCTCAATTATAAGGTACGGTATCATATTTTGGGGTAATGCCAAAGATAGTCTGGCTGTATTAATCGCACAAAAGAGATGTGTGCGAGCCATTTGTGGTTTGAAGAGAATGGATAGTTGTGTGCCACATTTTAAGGAACTAGGTTTGCTGACGGTTCCTTCAATGTATATATTTGAAGCAGTCCTCTTCGTCCGGAAAAATCCCACACTCTTTGCCAAAGTAGATAGTACGCGTCGTCATTTAAATATTCAATTAGTAACACGCAAGACAGAATTATATAATAAAAATATCTGTGCGATGGCGCCAAGATTGTACAATAAACTTCCGAAAAGTATTCGAGCAATAGGTGACATTACCGGTTTTAAAAAACGTTTACATAATTTGTTAATATCAAAGGCATATTATACAGTAAACGATTTCATGAATGATAGGGATTTGAGATTCTAAAAATGACATTGAATATTATTTTAGAATTAGGATTAGTGATAGGGACTTATAATGTAATAATAATAATTTTGTAAAATTTGTAATAATAATAATGGTTTTCTAATGTAATGTAAATTTAAGACTTGTTATAAAATGTAAAAAATTCGTACGCCTAAGGGCAATGCACACTGATACACTTTAGTTGTAAGATCTTTATGGACGTGTGTACACGAATAAATGATTTTGATTTGATTTGATTTGATTTGATTTGCCTGAAGGAAATATCGACAAAGTAAGGATGATATCCCGCCATACGTCTGGATGTTCGATGGTAAAAAGTGACGGGGTGGATAAGCTGATGGAGTCCATTGGCACACTCACCGAAATATATTCAGTAGAAAAAACTATGAAGTTTAGATTCGAGCTTAAGAAGTCTCGTGGCTCTGCGTTCAACCGAATCAAGAGTCTCAAGTTGATATTTTGCCATGCAAAATCGGACTTTTCAATTGCCCCCTTTGGATATTTATATACCGTGTCACGTCTGTTTTCCATTACCTACCCCAGGCATTATAAAATAGTAAAATCATAATCTAATTTGATTTCCAGATCACCCAAAAATGTTCTGGTCAGTTGTCCTGGTCTTAGTCTTGGTTTTCGTGGCGTGGGACGTGCTGGGAGATCAAAATCCCCTCGATGTCGTTCCCGGACCACCTAGAAGACCTATCTTCGGCTGCGTGCTTGGACATATGATGATGAGTCCTCGTAAGTATTATTTCGTACCCTCGGTTTAAAAAAAAGTACATGTGATACGTCAAAAGTGCTTCTATCACGTGAAAATCGTAAAAATAATAATGAACTAAACAAAGTTTATTTAATGATACATAGTGATGGGAGGAATAAATCTTACAAGCAGGCGTGTGCCTATCATTAATAATTCCAGTGCCACTCAGAACTATAAATCGCAAAGATCTAAGGGACAATCCCGCTGTATCACCGTGAGGTGAGACATAAGTTGACAAGTTCCATGTGCCTGTAATTTTACCAGTACTCATAACCCTTCAAAAATTGAAAAGCAGTAATAAAAGTAGTAAGCAGTAATGCTCGCATTACTGTTTGGCGGCAGACGGTAAGGTGGCAGTAGTTCCCTGGATGACCTCTTTCACAAGAACCTAGCTCTACTGCTGCTGATGTGAAGCTCTCCTATTTAAGTATATCGATACTTTAGAGTAGAAAGGGCGTAAAGGTCAAACGACTAAGTTTATAAAACGAGTGAAAGATAATAATTTACTTTTGGTTCATAATGTTTACGTAAAAAAGTAAGTTATATCCAATAACAAAACTTAGTAGAAGGATAAATAAGGCCTAAAATTTTAACCCAACTACATGAATAAAATATTGGTTGTTGCATCCTTTCATCTACTGCCTCCGTGGCCGAACGATTACCATGCCGGACTGCCACGCAGAGGTCTCAGGTTCGATTCCCGGGCCGGGAGAAATAGTTATATGGCCTACAATTATTTCTCTCGTGTGTTTGGGTGTAATTTGTGATTGTCTATGTGTGTGTCCATGGCACCCGCGACACAGGGTTTCCCTAGTGCGGGGCTATGTTGAGTGTGTGCGTTATCTACGACGCATCGATATAGTACATTATTGCAGAGGCCGGGATGTAAAGAATTGCTGGACGAGTATGAGTTGCTCGCTGGCGCGTTCCCGCCGAGGCTTACATAGTGCTTTTCTCAAGCAATATGGAAATAACAAAAAGTTAATTAAAGTTAAAAACAATATTTGAAATGAAACTATTTTTCCGGATTTAAATCGCGTATATTTGTTACCGGTCAGTCAACCGTGTCCATGGGACCTGTAAAGGGCCCGAAACGTGTCGGTTTGTTTGAAAAAACAAATATACGCGATTTAAATCCGGAAAAATAGTTTCATTTCCTATGTGTAACAATCGCGAAAACCTAAGAAAACAATATTTGACATAGTTTTTCCAGGCACATCATCAGAAGTTCAGCAGACTACTGCTGAACTTCTGATGATGTGGTTGAATGTGTATCCATTACTGTATTTTGGTTATCGCTCTTCTCACTAGAACTTATTTTCCCGACGAACATTGAAAAAAGCCAAAAATGTGTCTTTGTATGTTACAAGCCTCATTATAGTGATTTTATAATAAACTTTTTGTAACACCTTTTGTAACCTGTGTATCACAAAGAAATAAATGAATTTGAATTTGAAAACAGAATAACAGAAAAGAATACCAAAGCACTTCAGTTTATTAAAAAAAGAAAGCGATACAGCAGCTATTTTAATTCTTGGCAATTACGAACACTTGACAATTTGCTGTAAGAGTTTTTCTTTTGTTTTGTTCGGTGATGAACTATGTAAACAGGACTCTACTAATGTAGATAGGTTTGAAAGTTTAGACCAGAGTACAGTCATGGATTTTCGCAGGAAAGAAGTCGCACGGGCCATAAATGACAAACTTTCTGTGTTCCATTTTTGAAAGTAATGCAAACATTTCCGAGATTGTTTGAGAAAAAAAAAAAGTCATCAACTGATTTGTTCGTAGCATCTATAAACCACTCTACTGAAAAGTTGTCAATTTGCAGATGTAGCCTTATTACACCAAGAGTGAGAATTGTAACGCTCTGTTTTTGGTTCATTTGTAGTCTTATATTATGTTAATTTAATTTGCAGGTACTCTTTTCCTAAAACTTCGTGAGTACGCAGAAAAGTATGAGGATCGTTACGTGCTAAAGCTCTTCAGACGTCGCGTTGTTTACATTTACAATCCAAGCGATATTGAGGTAAGGTTACACCTGTAATCTCAAATCTTAGTCCGAAGTCGTTAATTTCGATTAGTCATGGAAAAATTCACCTAAAAAAGATATAAGTTGAAGTTACTGAACGAAAACGATGGAGCCAACAAGAGGTGATAGTGGTGTGGTTGTTGGAGGTTTTTTCGTTGTTGTGAAATCATTTGAATCTCGTTTTTCTTTTAAGCGGCTTTTGGCCATACAAGTTTATTTTAAAAAGTCACGCTAAATAAAAATTCAAAAGATATTTCGAAACGTAGAACAATGAGGTTTCGAAATTAAATTTTTCCAATTTTTTAAATTTCTCCAGTTTTTGCGAATTACCAACAGTAATTTTAATGAATCTGGATAACTTTTGCCGATCGCATGGTCTAGTACTGGCGACACATCTTTCAAATGCCTGCCTTATCAACTTTTGATGGTAGTTTCTGCAATTACTATGGTTGTCAGGAGTAACGGGGAATCAGGGTCCGATTCCGGAGAGAGAGCCTGAGAAACGGCTACCACATCCAAGGTAGGCAGCATGCGCGTAAATTATTTACTCCCGACACGGGGAGGTAGTGACACTTTAGATACACTTTAGGGCAACAATTGGAGGGCAAGTCTTTTTACGATTTCGCTAATTTGACATTTGTGGCGTAAAGAAGACGAGACACCTGAGATTATGGGTAGACTGTATTAGGGTGCGTACAGATTTGTGGAATGCGCCTGGTTAGGAAATCCATTACTTAGCGCGGTTAGTGGTGGGCAGTGGGTTAAAACTCAATTTACCCGCTCGGGTTTTAATCGGGGTTTTACCGAAAGCGTCGGGTTTTAAACCATTGCTGGCCAAAATTGTGGCATACCTACTTTCATATTTACCAGAAATTTCGATGTAAAAGGACGCGGCGGCCGCGCGAAAACTTTCGCGTCGTGTAACTGGGCTTAGGGATGCACATTACGACTCGATTTTTATGAAAATCGATTCAAGTACCTAATACCTACATACCTACGATCGCTACGAATTTTTATCGATTCATATAATGCGATTTTCATGCCAATCTACTCAACAGAAAGACAGAATATGTAAGCAAGCAATAAACTTTATATATTAATATAATTAATTACTTAATATTTAGTTGTAAACAGTTTTTGCCCCCATTTCGGGCGTTAAAAGGTTTTACCCCGATGAAATCCAGGCGTTAACCAAGCACCGGATTAAAACTCTGGCGCTTGTCCTTCTTAGCAACGCGCCTGTCCATAGAAGTTGCAATGCTATAGAGCCCGTGACACGGAGACAAGAATTTGATAAATGCCACGTGCCTATTTTAATAGCACTGTTCGTAGCCGGAAATAAGTAACTGGCACTGCAACTGTAATGAAGAGGTGTGTTGTTTACCACGTGTTAATACAAGCCCACTAGTTGATTATCCTCATATTCTGTGATCATAAAAAAGATATAAAAAGATTAACTGGCTCCGTGGCCGAACGGTTATCATACTGGACTGTCACGCAGAAGTTTCGGCTTCGATTCCCGAGTCGAGAGAAATATTTGTATGGCCCACATTTATTTCTCTCGTGAGTTTGGATGTAATTTGTGGTTGTCAATGTGTGTGCCAGGATTTCCCTAGTGCGGGACTATGAGTGTGTGCGCGTATTATTATTATATTATTAAAACCGTGAATTGATCACCCTCATCCTAATATTTTTCTTTTTTTTATGATATCAAGTGACGAGGCGAATAAGCCTGTACATAACAGTTGCAGTATCACTTAGAGTCTTAAATCGTAAAGATCCGGAGGGGTACTTCCAGGGGCATGTGCCTGTAATTTCACCAGCACCCTTACCCTTCAAAACCGGAACGCAGTAATGCTCACATTACGAGAAATAGGTCAAGTGGTAGTTCTTCCCTGGACAAAATCTTTCACAAGAAGTTCTACTGCTACGGAATAGTAATTATCTATCATCGGTTTGTGCCTGATTTTGTTTATTATACATTATTCTTTTATTAGCAATAGCATTATGTTCACAGGTAGTTTTGTCCCATTCGAAGAACATAGACAAGGCGAGGCCCTATAAGTTCTTAATTCCTTGGCTTGGCACTGGCCTGCTCATCAGTACTGGTAAAATTCAGTCATTATTGTATTCTTTTGAGTTATTTTATTCACTTTATATTATTTTTATTTTACTGCACATTTGAAGATAAATCTAGCGAATCAATGCATATTTTATAACAAAATCGTAAAGCGGTCGTCATTCCCGGCCTAGTGCTCACTAAATAATTTCCTTAACATTTTTTATTATTTCAGTATTCAGTTTTTTATCGTAGAATATTATCTAATATTCGAATACTGTATCGTGCAATATTATTTAGTAATTACACGATAATATAATAAAAATTGCCTCGGAAATTAGGTAGTGAACATTAAGCCGAGAATGACGGAAAGACTGTACTTGTAATATTAATATTTTATATTAAATGTCAGTGCTACCCATTGAAGAGACGATATTAAACCTAAAAAATCAGTTTTTAGAATTTTTGTTTGTTTGTCTGTGCGTGTGTGTGTGTTAATCTCCACAATGGCAGAACCAATTTGGATAAAGTTATTGACGATGTATTAAGACAAATTTAGATTAACATTTACTGTTTGTTTTATTTCAAAATAAGCCGTGGTAGCCTAATTGTTTGACCTACGGTCTTTTTTTATAAATAGATAAGTGAAAAGGCCCAGGTTATTTTTTCGTTCCGAAGGCGGTATAACGAGTTGCGCACGCGACGACACGCGTTGGGCAACGTGAATGCTTCGAAGGATTTAGCAAATGTGAGCGACCGTACAAGCCGCGCTGCTATTTTTTTTACGTTTTAACGACAAAAATAAACTGAAAATTATTACTATCTTTAATTGTAGGTACTTACTAACGTAAGTAAGAAATTTTAGCGCGTATGGAAATACCGGGTACTGCTAGTTTCTAAAAGCAAATTTTGTAAATATTAATAATACATATTATTAAAAAATATACATATGTCTAAAATATAATCTATGACGTTTTAAAGTCTAATTTTTTTTCAACTTCCTCGCAATTGTGATTCTTCGCACTTGTAAGGAAGAAACAGCATGCCACACGGGCAGAACGGCAATTACAAACATTCTGGTAATTAAATTTGAATCTGTACCACAGTCAGTCACTGCCACAGTAAAGTAAAGATACGGTCCCTGTCCTTGATGGTTTACTTACCCCCTTTTGTAACACAATTTAAAACTTCTTACCAGGCAGTAAATGGTTCACACGTCGCAAGATCCTTACTCCAACATTCCATTTCAACATCCTGAAGAACTTCGCCACCGTCATCGAGGAGAAAAGCCGCAATCTGGTGTCCAGATTGAAACAGCACCAGAATGAGGTAGACGTGTTTTCAGTCATCAGTGACTTCACGCTTGATACCATCTGTGGTAAGTATTCAACTAACCTTAGTTAAAGTTATGTAAACATAAAATAATATCACTGTTTGTGATAGTCTGGCCCATATATGTAAATGAAAGGTTATTTAATAAGATCCATGTATTTAGGCATTGACTTACAAATAAATGGACGTCGTCGGGTCTAATACAAAATCCACGAAAAGAATGTTCCAAGTCAACCTATTTAAATGTAGTGACATATAAAGGAATATGAGAAAGCTAAAACGTTGAATTCAAATTGTAATGTCATTTCAGTATCGCGCTGTCAGTCGAACAAATGAAGACTAAAGCGGAGTTTGACGCTCTGTATACGATTTTAACGCCTTACAAGTTCGGACACTTTTTAGCACGGACCCGACGTCCATATAATTGTAAGTCAATGTATTTAAGTTAAATTTTTATACAAAATAAATTTATCTTTATCTTTATCAATCTGACTGGGCCGAAGTCTCGTAATAATATATTTTTTTTAAAACATCAAGTGACGGAATGAACCTTGGACGATCAATTCGTGCGCCTGACGGTAAGCTACATGCCTATCTGTAACAGTTACAGTGCCACTCAGAGCTTTAAGTTGCAAAAATCTAAGGAGCACTACCACTGCGCCCGTCACCCTGAGACATAAGTTGACAAGTCACTTGTGCCTGTAATTTCACCAGCAGCGCCAGAAATGGCAGAAATAGGTAAGGTGGTAGTACTTCCCTCGACGAACTCTTTCACAAGGAGCTCTACTGCTACTTGATGATAGTTACTTTTTATATTTATTCATTTATACTCAGTTTACATAAGAGTAGACCCACCAATACGTACCATGTAGACTAAAATACGTAATATTATAAGAATAAAAATAAATGAAACTAACTGTAATATAGCTGATGTCAAACACCGCACATACACACATACAATGTGTATACACACATTCAATGAAGTTTGACAAACCCCAGGTCCTTGCAAAAGAAGTCCGTTATCTACCCAGGATGCTGCGAGACGCCATTGAAATTAAAAAAAACATGCTAATTTCAATAGGGAATTTGATTTCTCCGTGCCACCAGTGGATCCCAAGATCCAGTATTTCCTCTAATGAAAAATCCCAAACAGACATAAGACTGCAGTAGTAATTAATGTTTTAGTTTATTATAATTTCTATTATTAATTAATAATAAATTGAACTTAATAAAAAATTCATTCAATAAAATAATTTGTAAAACTTAATGTAGCGTAAATTGGAATGTTTTCTTTGTAAAATTAAAAATAAGGTATTTAATTAATAACTAGGTATTGTAACTATATCGAAAAAATAGGGTGGTTTGCATTAATATTAGATATAACTGGTTGAAGACTCTGTACCACCTCAGTCAATCACGGTTGACTGGTTCTGTAAAGGGCCCGAAACGTCAGTTTGTTTGAAAAAACAAATATGCGCGATTAAAATCTAAAAAAATATAATATATAATTCATTCACGTTATTTAAAAGTATTCCAATCATTTGCATTGCAATTTCCATCTCTCTATCTCCTTGCATTGCCCTACCTGCAATTACATACATCCTGCAGTGCAACGTGTGTTAACGGCACAGGCTACCATCTCAGTCAGCTGTGACCATGGGACCTGTAAATGGCCCGAAACATTGGTTTGTTTAAAACAACTAATATATGGGATAATAATTTTTTTTTTCTGAGGTTCGATCTTTGTATTAATAATTATAACAAACTAGTGGAGTAATTTCACAAAAAAAATTGAATATCAATTCAATTCAATAAAAATTTAATTAATACAGTGAATAGCGACATCTGTCGCCAGGACTGGTAGCTGTAAAGGTACTTACTGGGTGATAAACCTTTCATAGATTTCTCATAGATGGCGCTACGACTAAAAAGTCGTTGAAAAACCAAATACAAAGACACCGTTCCGAGTCCGTTGGTTCGTTCCGTGGCTTAGTTGGTATAGCGTCTGCCACGGTATGCAAGAAGACGTCGGTTCGAATCCGACCGAATCGAAGGAATTTTTTCTGAGTGTTCGATCTTTGTATTAATAATTATTATTATTATAAATACTATTTACAATGATTTTAACAGAGACAGCTATGGGAATCCAGCTAGATCACGACAAGTCAAAAGCCACAGTGGAGTACAAATCTGCCATTCATGAGATTGGGCGTTTGATAATGGAACGACTGACAAGATTCTGGCTTCATAACGACTTTGTCTACATGATGTTGCCCGTTGGACAGCAATTTAACAAGGTAATTTCTAGAGGCTGAATTACTTTGATTGTTGAACATTCCGTGATCCGTTTATATAATTTTGAAATTATTTCAAACAGACAGCTTGATGTGGCTAGAATGGTCATGGACACACATAGACAACCACATATTACACCCAAACTCGCGAGAGAAATAAATGTAGCCGCTAGGCACTATATTCTTTTCCCACGTTAGTGCGTTTGTGTATGGACCATTTTAGTGACGCGGCGTAGCACTTAAACGTTTGAAAGACGCTCATGATTGCTAAAGACCGCCTATCGTGACTTTTTTATATCACGAAAAGTCGGAGTCGGATCAAAGGGACTTCGTTTAGTGGAGAATAGACACCCTCGCGTTTTGGTAGCGTTATATTGGCTGGGCCCATAAATATACTTCAAATGATTGTAATATCTATTGTTAATTGTTATATAATTGGATTTGAATTTAGCTTTTGCTAACGTTATAACGCCAAGAAGACAAAGTGTGTTAAATTTAGAATTACCTATCGTAAAATCGACTAGTCCAAGCATAGAAATAAACGGAGAAAAGTTAGACCTTGTTAATAAAGCAGTCTTCTTGGGAGTGACCTTAGATAGTAAACTTCGATGATTTCCACATGTATCTTCCCTGGCCAGCAGATTAAGCTCCGCTGCGTACGCAGTCCGCAGAATCGTGAACTTACAGACGTTAATACCTACTGCTAGACTAGTTTACTTTAGTTACTTCCATAGTATAATGTCCTACGGGATTCTCATGTGGGGTAAAGCGGCAGATATTCAAACCATATTTGTATTGCGAAAACGAGCGATTCGTTCTGTATACCGTCTAGGCACTCGGATTTCTCTCAGAGAAAAGTTTAAGGAGACTGGTATAATGACTGTGGCATTACAGTACATTTATTAAAATATACATGTCATTTCAATAAGAAACAAGATATTCGTAATATTAACCTTAGAGCTAAGTCTAAACTCATGGTACCACGATTTCTTTTACCTGAGATACCGACTCTTTTATGGGGACCTGTATACGTTTTTACAATAAGATTCCCGAGCATATATTAAGATTATCATTTCTAAGTTTAAAAACTACATTAAAAATATTTTGATTGAAAAGTCATGTTACAAAATTGAAGACTACGTGTTAGATAAAGATGTATGGAAAGACGACACGGCTCCAGAGTCCACACAAATTTGATTCAAAGTGTATTCCATAGCATTTAAGTTTATTTGAAAAGAGCAATCCCTAGAGTTTACGCAGCGTAGTGAACGAGTAGTAGCTTAATGTAATGTAATGTAAGTGTGACGTTTTCAAGTGTAAATTTATTTTACCTATGGAATAATGATCTTTGACTTTGACGTTGGAAATCTTCTTTCTTCTTTCCAGCCCTTTTCAACCATATCGGTGTAGGCCTCTATCAGTTTCTGCCACTTCTTTTGGTTCTGTGCCATCTGTATCCAATTCAACCCCGCCACTTTCATGTCATCCTTCCAACGCATCTGCGGTCTCCCAGGGGCGGTTTTTCACCCCAAGATCGCCATTCGATGACCGCTTTACACCAGGAGCCATGCTTTCGAGCAACGTGATCCGCCCCCGCACCACTTAGGTTCGTTACGCGTTTAGTGACACCTGCGACTATGTTTTCCTGTACGAGACACATATTTGTTTTGCGATCTTTGAGTGTAATTCTCAACAGTTTCCTTTCTATTGCTCTCTGGGTTACCTGTAATGTGTGAACTATGTCTTTTGTTAGCACCTAGGTAGTGTTGGAAATACTCGTATTTTAAATGTTATTTTTTTCTTTTAGGCCCTTAATAAGGTCCTAAGTTTTGCGGACAATGTTATATCAGAAAGAAAGAAACAGAAAATTACAGGAGAAAATTCAATTGCGATTGATGAAGATAATTTTGGGAAGAAGAGACGGGTGGCCTTATTGGATTTATTGCTGGAAGTTGAAAGTAAAGGAGAAATAAACCTGGAAGGAATTAGGGAAGAGGTCAACACGTTTATGTTTGAGGCAAGTAAAAGTAGTTAACCATTTCAAAGTTATTTTATCTATTTTTTTCAATAAGGCCATTACAATATATTTTTAGTGAACATCTGTGATATCCAAGTACACTTTGGACTTGGATATCGTATTTGATTAAGGATTTTTTTTTATAATATCAAGTGACGGGACGAACAAGTCATGCGCCTGATGGTAAGCTACACGCCTGTCCATAACAGTTGCAGTGCCACTCAGAGCTTTAAATCGCAAAGATCCGATGGGCACTACCACTTCGCCCGTCTGAGACATAAGTTGAAAAGTCCCATGTGCCTGAAATTTCACCAGCACCCTTATTACCCTTCTAAACCGGACCGCAGTAATGCTGACGTTACTGCTTAGCGGCAGAAATAGGTAAATTGGCAGGACTACACTGGACGAAATCTTTTACAAGGACTCTACTGCTCTACTGCTGCTAATAATACTAAAGGGTACTAAAGGATAATAAGACTAACGTTAGAAAATAAAAAAATCCTAATCCTATCCTAAAACTTATGCCATTTAATAGTGACGTCATTGTTCTACAATATATACCTACATATACTACTATACATTTACTATACATTTTTGATGCCTGCAAGTTCGTTAAAAAACACGCAGTTTTATACTCTCCGATAAAATTAATAAGACGTAATAATCGTTACCATAACAAGCTTAAACTTCTCCCCTCTAGCCTAAAATTATTTTTTTGTGCACCACACCCTATGTTAATAAAAGTATATAACCACATCTCAAATCATATCAAAAATTTGGATAAAGACACGGTCTTTGAAAAACGTTTAAAAGAATTTCTAAACAAGAAACCTATTATAATATGTCTGAATTTTTTGGCGATAAATGTATTTGAAATTGATTTCATGTCTATATGAAATTTAGGTAATAATTGAAAATAGAATTTAGTAAACATTATTATTAATAATGTAAAATATATAAAATAATAAGTGTAAATAATAAAATAAATGTACGAATAATATATATTATAATATATGTTAAAATAACTGTATCATTAGGTTTAAGTTTAAATTGTGCTACGCCCTAACAGGGTACCACATGTATGTATCTAAGTTTATTAAAATGTGAATTGCAATAAATGAAATTAAATTAAATTTAATAGTAATAGAAATGTTTAATAGTATAAAAATAACAATTTAATTAATTTTAAGATAAAAATATTGTGTAATAATTATGTTTATTAATAATTATAGAATCTATAATATAATTAATTATCTAAACTAATTAACTACGTTCAAGCTTGCAATGTAATTTAAATTCCATTGTAACTTTGCTACACCCTTACAGGGTATCACATGTACAAGTTTATCATCCATGTGAAATGCAAATAAATGAATATGAATATATATCAAAATATTGAATCTCTAGCAACAGGGTAAGTACTACTCACAAGTGCCGCGTCGGCGGACAATTTATAGAATATAATTTTATGTTGATATGATATAACATTTAATAGCCTGTAGCAGAAACGTTTGCAAAATGTATGAGAAAAATATCTGCTACAGTGTATCAACAGGCATTAGCACGATGCCAGCGCGAATGTGTATAAAAAAATGTAACGGCACTTTACGTGGCTATTTGTATTCGTTATTGGGTGTTTGATGTATCTGGAAAAACATTTGACATGTTTTGACAAGCATGCAGACACTGACAAATATATGTGACCATCTACACATGGAGATAAATAAAAAAAGAAAAAATAATCTGTATTTATTGTAATAAATATAATTTCTCTAACAATGAGGGGCTGTTCCATTCGGTGGTTTGGGAAAAACAGCAAAACATCTAATTACAAAACAAACGGAATCACATTTGATCGGTAATTAAATAATAACTATGTAATTTTTCAATTTTCGTACATTATAGCAAAGCAAAAAAAAAAACCGTAAAACAAAGTCACCGTATTAATTTGGCAGAATAGTTTTCAAACATTTCGCTTCTATTTCTGGTTATATATTCGATGTGTTAAAATAATGAATATGGACATTGTGTAGACGGTGTACTTGCCTATTTGCCTACTTCGCTTCTTTGATATGCGTCGAGAAACCGACCAGTGCGCGGTAACGCGTGTCGCGTGTTTGCTGTATTAGTCAAATAGGCAAACAAGACAAATACTTTTCACCTCAGCAGCTCGAACAAGGCTATTTTGCTGTGTGAAATCAGTGAGCAAAATCTTATTTTGCTCACTCCGTGAGAAAAAGTAGCTTTTTGCTTTTTAAGTGGAGACTTGTCATTTCATGCGAAGGGGTCTAATACAAATTCGACATATTTCAAAATCAGTCGCTCCGTCCCTTTCACTTCATTACAAGAAAAAGGAAAAAGAAAATTATGGTTTATTCGTACTTCGATATTTAAGCTACATAGTAGACCCCCACAAAATGGCTGAACGAGTGCACGTTCGGAAACTCGTCAATTCATCTAAAAGATAAATTATGTGAGAAATACAAATACGATTTTATACTATGATAATTTAGTTTTTACAATTTTCATTAAAAATAAAGCAAGTGTTGCAATAAAAATATGCTAAATTTATAACGTCAATTAAAGATAACAATATTTACAATGTGTGATTTCAATGAATACAAGCGAGAACGTTCCGGAACGCAATAAATAAAAGCGCGCTTTCTTTTTTTTTAATTCAAAATTTCTTATTTGCTTGCGATAGGTACTTCTTTGATAGTTAATTGGATACCTACCTACGTAATAAAATAGAAAATATGAGCGATTCCAGTGAAGACGACAATTTTTTAACTCCTCCAGAGTTAGTTGAAACTGTTAAAAATGCTGAACTAAGTTTCTTGCCTAGTAAATCTCGTGAAAAGTACCTGAAAGTCTACGAACATTTTGACAAATGGAGGCACGAAAAGGGCGCAGGAAACACTATGTCGGAAACTGTGCTTCTGTCTTATTTCATTGAAATGTCGCATACAAAACAGCCGTCAACGATGTGGAGTATATATTCGATGTTGAAAGCTACATTACAAACTAAAAATAACGTCCATATAAACACTTACGCAAAGCTGATTGCGTTTTTGAAAAGATCGGCCGGCTGCTGAGGTGAAAAGTTGTATGTATCACGCGAGAGCAAAGTTATTTTGCAGCTCGTATTTTTGAGTCCCTCGCTTCGCTCAAGATTCTAATTCTGAATCACTCGCTACGCTCGTGATTCAACTATAGAATCTTTCGCTTGCTCAGGACTCAAAAACAGCACTCGCACCAAAAAACGACTTTGCTCTCTTGTTGAACAAATAACTATTGTCACACATGCTATCCACACATGGTGATTGTTTGCCAAATATACCAAATATGCAAATACGGATAGCCATGTGAAGAGCCACCATAAAGCTTAACTCACACTGGCGCAGAGTCGAAGCGTCGCGACGGGTCATGTTTTTCGCCTATAGCATATACATCTCTATTGTTCCACTATTAAGGTACAAATTTGTGTTATGCAAATATGAAATCGAGAGTCGCTAGGCGGTGTAGTTGAACAATTGGACGCGACGCTGCGACTTTGCGCCAGTGTGAGTTGAGCCTAAGATTCCTATATTCAACGCGATGAGCGAATAATGTCATTATGATCACATAGAGTTGTCCCCAATCAGGCGTATTGCGCGAACGGTTCGCGGCCTGTACTGTGTGTGTTTTATCTTTATTCATCTTTTATACAATTTCAGGGCCACGACACTACAGCTACTGCTTTAACTTTTGGACTTATGTTAATAGCAGATCACAATGAAGTTCAGGTGTGTTAAAATTACTGTTTTTTTGACAAGAGGTTCATTTGCTGTTGGGTAATATTCCGAAAAATATCAAATATTGGAAATTTTTCCCGATTAATTCCCGAAAAATTGGAAAAATATAATTTCGAAGCCTCATTTTATTTTCTACGTTTAGAAACATATTTTGATTTAGATCGTGAATTCTAAAATAAACTTGCATAGTTAAAAACCATATAGAGAAAAACGAGATTTGAAATGACTTCACAACAGCGAAAAAAACCTTTTTAGTGGCTCCATTGTTTTCGTTCAGTAACTTCGATTTTTGACGGGTGTCAACGTGAAAAATGGAAAATTAAAGGAAGAATATCCGGAAAAATTCATAGTTCTCGGAAAAATTAGAATTTTTCAAAATGGAAATTTTTCCATTACCCAACACTAGGTGTATCTATACTTTACGCATGGTTTTAAGTTCATACATTTATTTATTTCTCAATACTTTTGTACTGTCATTACAAGTTCTTACCTTTAGTAAAGCAACGCAATAAACAATAATATAAACATTACAAATGTGGTTATTTTTAAGGAGCAAATATACGAAGAATGTCAACGTATATTTGGGGATTCTGACAGGATAGCCAGCATGGCAGACCTCGCCGAGATGAAATACCTGGAGGCAGTGTTAAAGGAGACTTTAAGGCTGTACCCGAGCGTGCCTTATATGGGCAGGGAGACCACCGAAGACTTCATGATGGGTGAGTACTGGAGATCCGTAGAATTCGCAAGAAGGATTAGCAAGTTGAAGTGGCAGCGGGCGGGGCACATAGCTCGTAGAACTGACGGCCGTTGAGGCAGAAAGGTTCTCGAATGGAGAGCACGAACCGGAAGGCGTTCTGTGGGACGGCCCCCTAATAGATCCGTGGTAGTAGCCCGTTTAGCTCATGGAGGTAGTCTCGATCTCTGATGTTTCAAAAATAATAATAATAAAATGTTATTTACAAAGAGCAACCCCTAGAGTTTGTTGCTCATTCTTCTCAGGGGAATCTGCCTTACGAATGAGCGGTAGAGTTTAACCATTGTGACGATTTCAAGTGTAATAATGCTTACCTATGAAATAAAGATTATTTTGAATTTGAATTTGAAAGATGGACGGATGACCTGGTAAGGGCGGCGGGTAACCGATGGACGCACGTTGCGTCTGACCGGCTAGTCTGGCAATCTTTGGGGGAGGCTTATGTTCAGCAGTGGACGTCTTTCGGCTGATATGATGATGATGATACTATGAGTACTGGTTTTGTCATCTATTACTTTACTGAAGAAAAAAAGGACATGTGGTATGTTTACGCATGTTGCAAATGTACCTATGTACCTGCTATATTGGAGTGAATGAACTTTGTAAAAAGTGACCAGTATTAAACGAGCATCTAATCGTAACGGTTGTTTCCGTTAAACATAGCAACATGACATTATTTTTTACGTATATTTTATTTTTCAAACAAACCAACGTTTCGGGCCTTTTACAGGTCCCACGGTAACGACGACAGACTGAGTTGGTAAAGTCATTAAGAGGGAGCAGAGGAAAAATTCCTAATCTTCGATTTGATTTTAGAGGGGTATATCCACTTGAAAGTTAAAAATAAAATATTGTATGAGTAACTACACGATATATTCAAGCATAGACACTAATCAGAAACATAAAACAATAAAGTTTCCTTGATAGATAAAAATCACGAAATGACCTCTAATTTTCACATTTTTTCGATTCATCCTCGAAATGCTACAGGTTATTAGGACAAAAATTAGATAATTAATTATATTTATGCATGATCGAGAACTGTCACTATGGATTTTTTTAATCCCTTTAGTTTAAGAGTTATTCCGCTAAAACGAATTTGGTACTTTTAATGCGCAAAATTCAACATCTCCTGTCGCATGTCACGCGAACTTCAGGCATATATTTGTTTCACAAATTTGGGCGGAGCCAACGTCAAAACTTTTTTGGCATGCTCCCTCTTAACTAGTTGTGTCTAATATTGTTAAGGAGGAAGCGGGAAAAACGGTTTTGCTAGGTGGAATAGGTTAGGTATTCACTATTAAATAACAGTCTTACGAATAATATACAATACATCTGAGGATATTGTCTAAATAACTAGCTAATTTGTTACATGATAGGATGTATTTTACCCGATCATATAAATTTCTGAAACCAGGCTTATATAAAAGTCTAAAACGAATTTATCGAGTTAGGTTTTCGCGGTTGTTACACATAGGAAATGAAACTATGTTTCCGGATTTAAATCGCGTATATTTGTTTTTTCAAACAAACCGACGTTTCGGGCCCTTTAGGCACGGGTCCCATGGTCACGGTAGACTGAGGTGGTACAGTCATCAGTTATATCTAATATTAATGCAAACCACCCCAATTTTTCGGCCTGAAACGTTGGTATGTTTGAAAAAACAAACATACGCGATTTAAATCCAGAAAAATAGTTTCATTTTCTAAAACGAATTATTTAAGAATAAAATATTAAATTTTTATATGGAAATATTTTTCTTTATAATTGCTACAGAGAATCTGTAAAATTGTTTTTCAACTAAATTTCTATATCTATATCCTAAAATTTTACGACACGCCACTCAGCCCGCTATTCCGTCAGTCACCATAGGGCTATTGTCGACGTCGGATCTCTGTCAATTTTCTCCGCTGTTCTTATTTTATTCATACTAATTTACAGCGCCTGGATTGCGGGACGCGAGAGGCGATCCCTATACTTCACTTCCTAAAATCTAGGATATATCTCGTTGATTTATTTGAAAAAAAAAAACAAATGTACGTCATTTAGATCTAAAAAAGAATAGTTTCATTTCCAATGTGTAGCAATCACGAAATAACTCGATGAAAAAATGCCCTGGATACAAACGCGGCTTCGAGCAGTGTCAGATAGTAGGAATTTTTCCTCGTGTTCGATCTTTTTCTAGAATTAATTTATTTTCATATTTCATACACATTGAGGCGAGAATTGAAATGTTTGTTGATGTAATATTAAACCGTATTGCTGCCTACATACTTTAGTAGCAGTAGAACTCCTTGTGAAAGAGTTCGTCCAGGGTAGTACTGCCACCTTACCTATTTCTGCCGCCAAGCAGTAATGTTAGCATTACTGTGTTCCGGTTTTGAAGGGGGTAAGGGTGCTGGTGAAATTACAGGCACATGGGACTTGTGACCCTTGGATCTTTGCGATTTAAAGATCTGAGTGGCATTACAACTTTTAAGAACAGCCGTGTGGCTTAACATCAGGCGCACGACTTGTTCTTGCCGTCGTCGCTTGATATTATAAAAAAAGAATACTACATAGAATATTATACTGTTTAACGGAAACACGATTTCTCGCGCGAACTCGCGATGGCTATTCGTATCAATCGCGAGATTGTGCGTACGATCAAATAAAAAACGATGCTGTCATCTGGTTCTTCTTATGAATAATAATTTACGGGTCATATTATACGTCAGCCGTATTTACCGCTAGATGAACTGAACAGCACTGAATGTTCACTACGAGACTGCGAGATTGCGAAGGCTCACGTGAGCTCGCGCGAGTTATTATTAATGGCAACTTTTGGTGGAAACAGGCCGGCGAGATTTCGATTCTCGGCTCTCGTCGTCTCTTCACGTCGATGGAAAACTACCATTAATGTTGTTTTACACCGGCGAGGCGAGACAAGACCTCCTATTATCATCAAAATTGCCATTAATAGCTCGCGCGAGCTCACGCTGCGGTTATGGTTAGTGGCGATTTAGTGCTGTTCAGTTCGTCTATCATCTAGCGTTTAGATTATTATTATCAAATATGTTAACGAAAGAAGAATCAGACGAGGCCATCTTTTTTAAAATCTCAAATCGTATTTATGTAGCTCACAAATTCGCGAATGATATTAATAGCCATCGCGAGCTCGCGCGAGAAATCGTATCCATTGCAGAGTACCTATATATAATACATACAACAATATTCTACTATAATACATAAAATAATCAATGTTACGTGAATAAATATTTCAATTCTCGCCTCGCCCATCGTCGTCAATCCAGAGCACTTCTACCGAAGATGCGCTAGGAGATAATTGAAATTTTATCATACAAATTTCAATCTTCATCTCGCCTCGTCTCGTCTCGCCTCACTGGCGGAAAATCACCTTTAGATCCTGAGGCATGTTGACAAGTCCCATGTGCCAGAAATTTCTCCAGCACACATATCCTTAAAAATGGGAACGCAGTAATGCTCTCATTACTGCTTGGCGGCAGAAATAGGTAAGATGGTAGTAATTGCCTCTACGAACTCTTTCACAACGAGACCTGCTGCTAGAACTTTGTCTTTTAGGAAATAAACTTGAGACATGCAGTTACAGAATTATTATACATAACGTAAGCGTGCTGGCACAGAAGTAAAATAATAATCGAGATTTCAAACTTAAACTAATGGAAATAAGGACTGACACATGTGTTTACAAAATTTACAATAAAAATGAGGAGACCTAGTTTGGAAAACAAATCAACGTTTTGTTCTCTTTGCAGTGCCTTTAGCGTGGCTTTACTGTGACAGTTCTCGCTAGGGACATCGTAAAATATTTGTATACAAAATGTTCCTTCTTCTCGTAACCGCTAGGGGCGCTGTATAATTTTACATACAAAATTGTGAAGTTATTTACGCGGTCGCTAGCGACAACTGTCACAGTAAGGTCATGGTAGAGGTACAGAGCCCTTGGTCGCGGCTGACCGTTAGGTTTGTTCGAAGTAACAAATATATACGATTCAAATCCGAAGGAATACTTTCTTTTCCTATGTGTAACAATCGCGAAAACTTAAGAACTTGGTCTATTATTTTATTGACCAAAATATCAATGTGACTTCCGGATTTCGCATTAAGCCAATTTATCAGAATAGGTAAAAACTAATCTATAGCCTGGTCCTGAAAATAGCATCAATTCAGCTCGACGACTCATTCGTCTCATTCATTTTTTTTAGTGTCATCATTATAATTATTATTATTTTATTGTTTTTTTTTTTTCCCTCCACATAATGTCCATCAATGTCATATCAATATTGTTATTGTTTCTTTGTGTTACGTATGTCTTTTAATATATTATGCTATATGCGTTGACATGTATCCCGCTCAAGACCATAGGGATTAGGGAGAGGCTGAAAAACAGCGTTACGCGGTCTTATCGCCGTACCAGCATAAGCTGAGTTCTGCCTTTTGTCTCAAATTTATTTATTTTGTTGTATTCGATTAATTAGTTTTTAAGGAAGAAAATGTTACGAGACAATAAATGATTTTTTATTATTATTATTATTCGTGGAAAATGAAATTAATTCCCAAAGTTTTATGACATATTTTTTATCCCGTTTTTATTTGCCTCGCAGTTATTTTCCTACTTTTATAAACTGATATAGTGAGTTAACTCTGTAAGTACCATTTGTTTGACTTTGCAAATTTATTATTCACATAACACGCAGTACAGCTTAAATTGAAACAGTCTGCTACATTAATTCTCTTTCACGTTCACTTCCATATATTACACCCAACTCGCATACATTACGCTCAAATGCACAAATGAGAGAATTAATAAGATGGATTACAAAAATTGCTCTCTTTCAATTGCATTAATGCCACTCAAATGCCCAAGGGAGATATTAATCATATTTATTTAAATTTATTATAAAGCGAAACAAGTCTTTATAACTAATTACTATCTACCC